ATTGATTTCTGAAGCAAAAATACGAGCAATGTTACTTACATTTTCATAAACTAAATTATAAGAAAAAATGGTTTTTATATATATGCCAACAAAAGACAACAAAATTTTTAAGGAACAGAATTAATAGTTGACCTTTAAATTCAGGAGACAACTGCTCGCCTTTAGAAAGCTCAATTCGAACTTCCACAAACTCTATTTTATTCATCCTTTTAAGGAGCAATATCAAGTTACAACAAAATATATACGCATATTCATATACATGTATGTATATAGTAGGAAAAGGAAAAAAAAATGAGATTTGTAAAAAAGACTAGTGAAGGACAAGGAAAATTAAGTTTACTTGCAGAAGATGAGAATTGCACGGCATGGCTGAGATAGACGATCTACAAACAATTTGAGCTTCATCTCTCTCCTTGGTGACTCCCCTCTCTGGCTCTTTGGCTTCCAAGTTTCAAACTTTGCTAGTTGATAATTTACTTGATTGCTACCATTTATTTTAGATTTCCTAGCTTGAAAGGCTAGCGTGAGGGCGGCTACTATATATTAATTTAAGAGAGGAGCACCTTCGTTGCTTTTGGCCTGCAGGAACATGCACACTTAATCAAGTTCATGAAGTCATGCATGACAGAGCAAGAGAAAAAAAACGATTCGAGTCAAAGAGGCCATTCATAAGTCCCTCGCAGGACTTCAAAAGTTGCCGGCTTTTGAAGTTACTGTGGGGATTAGATTTATTTACAAAAAAAATTTTACTTTCGTAAGAAAATTTGGGAACAAGTCAAAGAGGCCATTCATGACTTTTTCGCCCAAGGAAAGAAAATGCGATGCATAATTCAGGAAAAAAAAAAAAAGTTGAAACGGAAGTTATTCATATTGCACTGACAATGGGAAGGGTTGGGTTGGATAATAAAGTGAAAAAAATTACAAGCAAACTGGCATGGACCGAATATAATTATATTTTTTATGCAGTTTTGTCCGGCCGTCATCCATTTTAAAATTTTTTGTGTACAAATATATTAAAATATTATACTAAATATATGTCAAATATTTTATTCACAGGCATCACTTTTATTTTGAATATAATAATTTGATGTAATTATACATCAAATAATATATAAAAAAAAATATACAACAATGAGATCAACCATACCAGTTCTCAATCGCACTAACCCTTTCCCTAAGTAGGGGGTCTTGTCTAAGACCTCACACTTATACACCCAAAAAGAATTAAAAAATGCACGGAGAAGATCATTGCTGTAACTTTACATATGAGGAGCAGCAGCTAGAATGGGACCCATAAGGTCTTAAAATATTGGGCCTCGATAGTGAGAACTGCTTAGCAGAGGAGTCCTTCTGACCAGGGCTTGTTTCAACTTGGGCCGAGATGCCTCTCGGCACTACAACTTTAAACGAAATAATATCAAATAACATTAAAAAAAATAAGAAAAATGTTATTTGCATTTCAATTTTTATTAATCACACTTCAACAATCATTTTTATCATAGTATTTTCATTTATTTAGATTACATGATAAAATAAATTGTGAGTTTCCAAAAATAATTATAATAACAAAAGAAACTATAAGCACAAACGTTAAATTTAATTTTGTGCTGCTCCTCTTTTTGCCCCCCTTTAAAGTTGTAACTTGCAACTGGACAAAGTCATTTTTTTTTTTTTCAAGTAGAAGCCTGTGTCGATTTAATCACAGAGTGATGCAAAATTTTTTCAAGAGGAAATTTATTTTCTTTTCAATTATAATGAGCAAATCTTGTTATAGGAATGTGGCCATGAGTTCTTGATTCCTTACTGCATGGATTGTAGATGACTTTAACTCCCCTATCAATAAACTATAAAGCAATGTTGGATGAAAGAAGCAAAAGACACAAAAAGTAGTTGGAGTAGGTGATTTTCTTTTGACAAACTCCATTCCAATCTCAATGCAATGTATCTTAACCATTCAATGCTTTTCTTTAAAGAAGATGACACTAGTCATTTGTTGAGACATGCAACAAATTCTACCATTAAAAACAATGCCTCAAAAAAAAAAAAAAATCTAGAAGTATTGTTTGCACCCTCCTTATCCTTCAACCTTATTGTCCAAAAAAAAAAAAAAAAAGCGAGTCTAATACGCAGAAGATTTATTTGGCCTTGGCTTAATACAGCAGTGTCAAATTCGTTTCATATGCTGTTGTATCCCATCGCCTGGCCAGCGACCAAACCAGAAAATACAAATTACTACTACTTTCACAACACAACCAAGACGAATCGTCTTTATTTTGGATTCTCACTAACCATTAATACGCCAACATCCCATATCCTGTTTGGAGAGGAGCTTGAAAATCATGTGGGATTTTAACAAGCAGCAGCAGCAGCATTCCTCCATCTCTGAGTATCAAGCAGAATTTCACTTGAGAGAGGCTGGAAATACATAAGCTTATTGTATTGTACGAGATAGTTCACATTCGTTTACTGGAAATTAGCTGCAACAGTAACAATTTCTCTCCTAGCATATTCCCACTACATACTCTGTTTCCAGTTACCAAATAGGAAACTGGATTATTACTTTACACTACAAACGTAAACTGCCCTTATTGCCAAACTGCCTTGTTTCTTACACCAAGATCTGAGATCATGGTTGGAAAATATTCTGGAAATTCTATAGGGCTTCAACATATAGCAGCAATCCCACATCTTTTGAATCCTAACCAGCTTGTCAGCTGGTTTTCGTCTCACCACTGCCTGCAGATCTGTGGACGACAGAGCCGGCTGCCGTTTGGGTCCTCAGATGAACATGGGCCCCTAGAAATAAAATCTGGGCTGGGTCAATACGACTTGTTAAATTGTCAGAATCCAGCAGCACAACTATCCATCTCTGAACTATGAATAATGATTTAATAAATTTTTTTTTTTGCCCTTTTTCTATTCTCTCTCGCTTTCTTGTAGGATCTTTCCAAATCTCTGGTGACGAGCAACAATTGCACAATGCCTAACATTTTTTGCTTGGCAGTGAATTCGAAAAATTTTCTGTCTTTTTGGAATCAATCTTTTTCTCATTTTCCTTTTTTTGGAACCTTTGTGATCTCTTATAAAAAATTTGATTGGATTTACTCAGTTATAATCATTAATAAGTGTTGCAAACACAGGTTATGATAATTGATTGTTCATTTGGGGTTAGAGAAATTCATTAAAGGTACGTTTGATAAGATTGAGTCTAAAAATTGAAATAAGAAATATGAAATCTGATATCCAAATCCTTTAAGTTACTAAATTATTAAGTACTAATGGCGCGTTTGATAAAACTAATATTTGAAAACTAAAATCTGAAATCTGAAAACCAAAATCTAAATTTATTAAATTACTGAATCGTTAAATGCTAAATATGATACATTTAATTGATAAGTGAATAGTTTATCACTTATTTTTTGGAGTAAGTTTTACCTAGAAAATTCGAGTTTATTGCCAAAATAACTCTTCTTCCAAAACATATACCCAAAGTAATCTAATTTTAAAATTTATTACCTTTATGATTCTTTTTTTACCACTTAGGCTGCATCTGCTTCAGGATGGAGATAAAGACACCTTCCATTTCTCTTTCTCATTTAATATCTTCTCCAAATTTCTATCTAAACTTTCCCGCATTTTTTTTTTCATTATCTTTCCCTTGTCAAACATAATCTAAGAAACTAATATTTATATTAACAGCATCTAAAAAATATGCTTCTCGAGTCGATAATCTTAAGGCAAATGAAAATTATTCTCTTGTCTTTTCAAAGAGTAGAAAGGATATCATAAACAAATATAAAGCATTGAAGTTTTTGGAATTGCTTACAATTTTCGTTGCAATTTTGTTGCAATTTTTGTATTTTTAAAATTTATTTTTTGAAAAAAAATATGCAATAGGTTTGATACATTTCAAAAAAAATTCAGAGACCAATAATAGCAAGGTCAATAATGATAGAATTTATTTTAAATAATTATAAGGAAATTATAAAAGTTATGCAATCTTCTTGTGACTCTATAATAAAAAAATTTAAAATATTAGTTGATGTTGGAAACTATAAACTAGATTAGAACTTTCCTTTCTTGTTATCCTACACGACAATCAGGATAACTAGATGACAATAATAATATCATTATGGGAAAAAAATTTAAAAGTGAATCACATTGGGAATATTTTTTAGCAAGAGTGTTATTTTGGTAAAAAAAAAAAACTCAAGAAATTCAGTGCAACTTAATTATTAATTTAGATGTTCTATTTTTTGTTATTAAAATGCGTCTAGACCCATTAAATTTTAAGTGTTAAATTGAGTTATCAAACAGGGTCTAAATTTGATACATTTGAGTATGTATCACATTAAATAATGAGTGAATAACTTATTACCTATTTTTGGGATTATGTTTTACCTAGAGAAATTAGTACAATTTAATTAATTTAGATGTTTTATTTTTTGTTATCAAACACGTTTTAATATGTTCAGATCTGAATCCATTAAATTTAAGTGCTGAATTAAATTGTCAAACAGAGTCTAAGTCGAGATTTTCTAGATGTATTCTGTTATTATTATTAGTATATTTTTTTTTTGGGTAAACAGTCTGACTGTTAAAGGTTTGTAGTCCAATTTAGGCTTAATTTGGTATTAATCACTAAAAACGAGAAAAAAAAAAAAAAAGAGCTTTCAAAAATTCTGCTTCCTAGATTATCCACACTCGAGCAATAATACTATATACAAGCTTCCCAGAGTTCGGAATTTAAGTCTTTCATATACAAGCACCAGTGAAGCAATTTGCTAGTTGTGGGTAACATGAGAAAGTGTTCATGGCTTGAAGGGCATCTTCCAACAAAACCAGCGCTGGACACATTGGATCGCTCAACAATCATTTTCTCGTTCTTGAAATCACACATACAAAAGATTTACCCAAAGACCCAACACAGATTTTATTCAATTAACATCTTTGGTCCAGCAACAAAACGTTAAAAAACAAAACATAAAAAAAGAAAGTACTGTAACTCAAACTTACACAACGTTGCACGTAATCATATGGTTGTTCAAGGTTTAAAGAACCTGGAAATCATACTGAGGGAACTAAACAGATAGCTGCAATGCCGCATCTGTTTTATTTTAAGCAGACTATATATCAGTTTATTTTAATTTGCCTCATCACTCATCAGACTCCATCTCCTTTAGTTTGTCTTTCAATTGAAATAGGACGCCATGAATTTCTCCAAAGTAAGGTTGCATTGCATTCCTTGTATCATCCATCCACTTCCGAACTTTCTCATGTGGATCTAATAACCGTTGACGAACCTTCTCATCCAAGGCCTAAATTCCACAGCGAAGTTGTAATCAGTTACATCTCGCTTGTCATAAATTCCTTTGTATATTTTGTGGACTAGATAGTACTCTCCATACCCCATTACCGAACACTTGATTCTATACATAGTTTTTGATCTTTGAAAGTTTCAAGTTATCACATCATGTAGCAGTACTCTTGATACTAATGATATTAAATGCTATTTAAAAAAAAAAAAAAAAGAAATGAACTCCAGAAACAAAACATGTTTCAGGACATTTGGATAACCAAAAATTTTGGCGAAACTGAGGAGACAATGTTAATAGATTATGGAAGTATTTAGGTTTTCAGTCGGAATCCTATATAACGTCTTGATCTCTGTTCTCAAGTTAAGTTGATAAAGAAATTCATATAATATAGTAAATAACAGACTGCAAATGAGAAGAGCAAGAAGACAGTCTCTATCTCTTTACCTCAAGTTGCATGGTTTCACAGACCAAACTCAGGTCTGCAATTGAAGGTTTGGAATTTCCCAGCAGAAATTGTCCTTCCTCCTTCAGCCAAAAAGACTCGATCTTTGCAAGAGAAGCTGAGAGCACTTTTTCGCAATCAGCTGCTGCTTGTACATCCGAAGGCAGACCAAAAAGTGGTGCCAGTTTGCTATGGAAGACTAATCCAGCTGTAAGAAAAATAAGCGCATGCACCAAGGAGTACAACATTAATATTGATGATAACCTATCATTTATAAGCAAAATACTGAAAAAGAAACTTGGAATGACTGTATCTAGACATCGCTAGACAAATCCCAATTCTCTTGATAATGGAAGACAAACCAATAATGTATAGCTAGAGTAGTAATAATTTAATAGAGAGCCAAAACTTAAGATTGGCACCTGAACCATGTCGTAGATTGGCGTGATGCCAGTCTAAAACTGAGTTGATCTCAGCTCGTTTGAACAGGTCTGCTGGGTACCTTTTTGGTATGAAAAAGCACAAGTGATCAAAAGAGGTACGATCGAGTATCAGTTGTTGGTTTGATACTTTAGAAGCCATGTTCAATATTTGACCCACGTAACCGTATGAAACAGTTAATTTCAGGATTTAGTCACATTGAATATTCTCATAATTAAACATCAAGAGATAATAGGAAAGAAGTTCGATTGTGAGGTGTTCATATATTTATTAGAAACTAATATGTGCTTTCTTTTTTACTGATACTTTACGTTTTATAACAAAATGTTTATGGTAGTATCAGATAGCGTATAAACTGGCATGTACAGTAAGGAGACTCACCAATGATCTGCAACTCCAGGAGAAGCACAAGCCAGAAATCGTAGAATTGCATGACTGCAAGACATCACATTATAAAAAGTTTGGAAGAGAAATTTACTTTTATGGAAAGCATATTTAGAAGTGACCTCGCCAAAATGAAACTGGGAGGAGGAAAGACAAATAAAAGATGGCAAAAGACAGATGCAAAAAACGAGCCCGATATTAGGCTGCAGCTCGTATTGCTCTGACTGGACTTAAATTTTTTGCTTTGTTCTTTTGAAGACCAAGCTAGAATTTTGAAGATTTACCCTTTTGCTGCTCCATTTTTTTTTTTTTTTCTTTTTCGAAACTAGCCATAACAATCCAAAGGGACCAAAGAGGGGGTTTTTGTTGTTTTGGGGGGGGGGGGGGGGGGGAGGCTATTATCACCAACAAACATGCATCATGCATATTAATTCATCTCTTTCTTAGCTGCGAAGTGCATACTTACCTCTCAAAGAGCTTAAATCCTTCATCCACTTCCATGGCTGGCACCTTCTGCATGGGATTGATTTCTGAAGCAAAAATACGAGCAATATTACAAGTTCATAAACTAAATTACAAGGAAAAGAATGGTTTTTATATATATGCCAACAAAAGACAAATTTTTTAAGGAAAAGAATTAATCGTTAACCTTTAAATTCAGGAGACAAGTGCTCGCCTTTAGAGAGATCAATTTGGACTTCCTCAAACTCTATTTTATTTAACCTTTTAAGGAGCAATATCAAGTTACAACAAAATATATACACATATTCATATACATGTATATATATATTACAAAAAGGGTTAAAAAAATTTTGAGATTTGTAAAAAAGACTAGTGAAGGACAAGGAAAATTAAGTGTACTTGCAGAAGATGAGAACTGCACGGGATGGCTGAGATAGACGATGTACAAACAATTTGAGCTTCATCTCTTTCTTTGGTGACTCCCCTCTCCGGCTTCCAAGTTTCAACTTTGCTAGTTGATAATTTACTTGATTGCTACCACTATTTCAGTTTTCCTAGCTTGAAAGGCTAGAGTGAGGGTGGCTACTATATATAATTTAAGAGAGGAGCACCTTCGTTGCTTTTGGCCTGCAGGAACATGCATACTTAATCATGTCCATGAAATCATGCATGACTGAGCAAGATAAAAAAAATAATAATAATTCGAGTCAACGAGGCCATTCATGACTTTTGTGCCCAAGGAAAGAAAAAGAAAATGCGATGCATAATTCAGGGAAAAAAATGAAACCGAAGTGGTTCATATTGCACGGAGAATGGGGAGGATTGGGTTGAATAATAAAGTAGAAGGCATTGTAGATGGAAGGAAATGGACTCAGGGTACTTTGGTTCTACAGAATTAGAATTGAATTAGAATTGAAATTCTATAGAATTGGAATTCTATGAATTGGAATTCCAAGTCATTTCAATTCTTTCGTTTGGGAAATGCATAGAATTGATACGGAATTTATTTGAAATTCCAAATTCTTTGTTTGTATGAGAGAAGAATTCATTAGGAATTAGAATTGTTTCCAACTAATATTTCCTTACATAAAAAATTTCTTTTTTTTACTATATAATAATTTTTTAACATTTAGCTAATTGTTACTAAAGCTTTAAGGAAAAAACCAATTAGTACCTTTAATAATTTATTTTTTCTTGCATTTAACTGATTGTTAATAAAGCTTTAAAAGAAAAAAAATTAGTTCCTTTTTTGCAAAAATAAAAAATTCTTTTTTTTAAAAAAAATTAAATTATATTAAATAAAAAATAATTGTATATTCTAACTTAAAAAGTAGTTAATATTTATCGAGTTAAAACCTTGATACGTTTTTAAAGTTAAGAACTTTAAATTTTAGAAAATCAAAAGCCTACTCTATCAAAATGCTAAAACCCTACTTTTGTCAGATGACCAATTCACACACAGTCAAGTACTTGCTAAATAGAATAATATCTGTCATCAATTCTTTAGTGAGTGTGCAGACTTGTGGAAGATAAAAACCAACAGAATACAGGAAGAGCACTTATACAAAATCTCCTTAACTTTGAAAAAGAATGCAAAGGTTCATGTAACTCAATGACAAGTCAGGGCATCAACACAGGCAGCTATGTTAATCTCAATATCTAAAATGCTAGTTCATCAGACAAAAGATCCAATGTTCCATTCTTATCATCTCAAAAACAGAGAAAATAGCTGAAATACTCTCTAGAATCTTTCTATAATCTTGTTTTGATCCATTACATAAAAAACAAAGAACTCATCAGAATTTAAAAAGTCATGGATACACGATGGAGTAGTAACAACTTCTACTTGCTCTACTTGGGCTTCCAGCAATCAGCTCAACTTCTTCTACAAAACAACTTCAACTGGAGATTACCAAAAAAAATCAATTACCAATGCACATTTACCATCCAATTTGTTTCCTTGGTTCATTTGGTCAATAAAACAGGTGCCCATTACACGATCCATTTCAGGAGTCCAAGTGAAATACCCTTTGCCTTTCCCTTTTGACTGAGATGTTGCTTCAGATGCCATATCTGAGGCAGATATGCACCAGAAAAACATCACAATGTCATGTTCTTAAGAACATATTTAATAGCTACTGCATTATAGAACTAAAAATGAAAGGCAAATATGCACCTAGTCATGAAAGGCAATCGATCTCTAAACTTAAAAACGTGTTGGGCTGGACATTGATTTCATATCATTGAAGAGTAAATAAAGGGAAACGTCCATCAAAGGTAAACAGAATTCCTGTATTTTAAGTTCTATGACTATGGCTGGACATTCCAATTCTTTGCTTATGCTGTCTTCAAACAAAACTAGAAAAAAATGATTTGCCTTAAATGTCGAATGAACTTTCACTAAGAGAAGGCATCAAGATTCAGAAGTGATATTTATGCCTCAAAGATACCAATTATTTTGTAGAGAGCATGTTAGTCTCTTTAATGAGTAAGGAGAATTCTACACTTAAAAAAGCCAAAACTCAAACCATATGAGAAGGGAGTTATAAAAGATTTGAGTACAACAACCCCCAAAAACAGCAATAACAAAATACAAAATGAAAAAAATACAGATCAACAGGCAAACCAAAATGAAATGGACAATCGCAGTAAATATAGACACCTTTTAAAAGAGTAAATGAGACTGGTGTTACAGTTGTCTAGGAGATGCAGATTCAGCCATTTTCAACTTGTACGGAATGACCAAAAGGGTATTTTTCACTTCTCACTGATGCAAGAGGGCCAGCCCATACAGTCCGCACTCGGACAGGATGAGGGGTAAATCATACAGTACTAGCAATTAAATCAAAGACGGCTCAAATTAATAAATAAAACTGACGCCTGGAGAGTATTAGGGGCCACATTTCGCTAAGTTTTTACTATTGCTGCCATTACTGTAGTTATAAAACATGAAGAAGGGGCATGCAAATTATAATTGTCATTAGTTTGCGACAAATGATGTGGGGGGGTGCAAGGAGGACAGCCCTCTTGATAATGAGGTGAATTGTTTAAATTGTTTTCCTGCTTCTATATCATCACAAAGTTGGGTTCCCATAGCAGTATTTGGACGTCATAACTTAAAGCAGTATGAAAGTTGGAGATACCTCTGCTGTTGGGGTCCGCTCCAAAATCCAGAAGCAGTAGCACACAATTCTCGTTTCCTTTTGATGCAGCTATATGCTGAGTACAAAAAAAGGATGTAGAATGAACAAAAAGACAGAATTGCATTCTAGAAATAATTTTTAAGGAGTCAAATGAGAGTAGTATATATATACACACCAGGGCAGTTCTCCCATCGTTGTCAGATTCATTTGGATCTAGACCAAATGAGTGGCCAGAGAAACGGAAGGCAGGGGGGAGACGGTGGTGGGAAAGGGTTGCAGGTGGAAGCGATGGTGGAGAGCAGAGCACCTGCGGCTGAGGAAAAATGGTGAGTTAGATAGAAAGAGAGGGGTGCCGATACCCTTGACCCGATTTTAATTTTTGATCCATATTAGATCCGCGTTTGGACCCGTTTAATTGTGGAATTGGAATTAGAATTCTTTTGATCTGGTAAAGAATTCAATTCATGGAATTGGAACCTCTTGGAATTAGAATTCAATGCTAATTCTATGGAAAAGGCAGCATCCAAACACAAGAATTAGAATTGGGGTTCCAATTCCAATTCTAAACCCCAATTCTATGGGGTACCAAACATACCCTCAATATAATTGTGTTTTCTACTATTTCATCCTATCGTTATATATATTTAAGTTTTTTGTGTACAAATATGTTATAATATTGTACTAAATATATGTCAGATATTTTATTTATATATATCACTTTTATTTCGAATATAATAATGAAATGTAATTATACACTAAATAATATTTTTAAAAAATACAACAATCGGATTCAACCATAGCCGATCTCAACCGCATTGACCCTTTCCCTGAGTGGCAGGTGGTGTTGTCCAGGACCTCACACTTCTACTCCCAAACAAAAAAATGCGGAGTAATTTTACGGATGAGGAGCAGTAGCTAAGGTGGGACCCGTCAGGCCTTAAAATATTGGGCCTCGATAGTGATAACTATTTAGCAGCGGAATCTTTCAGACCATGGCTTGTTTAAACTTGGGCCTCTAAACTTCCTGGGCGAGATGCATGTAAACGCTACAACTTTAAACGTGTTTGGATTGTTGAATTATTTCATATAATATTTCGCTTGCATTATAAACACATTTTTCAATTCATCTTTTTATTTTCTTAATTATTTTTTTATCTCACATACATCATATCACAAAATGTACTACAGTAATTATTTCAAATAATACTCTATCCAAACACACTTAATTTGCACTTCATTTATATTAATCACACCCCAACAATCATTTTTATTATTGTATTTTCATTTATTATACTATATGATAAAATAAACGGTGAGTTTCAAAAAATAATTATAATAATAAAAGAAACTATAAGCACAAACATTTTCTTCTCGATTTTTTTTTTGGGAAGTTTTTGTGTGTTACAAATTTCTAAACTTTAAATTTAAGTTTTGTGCTGTTCCTCTCTTTGCCCCCCTTTAATGTTGTAACTTATAACTGGACAAAGTCTCTTTTTTTTTTTTTTTTTTCCAAGTAGAAGCCTATGTCGATTTAATCACATAGTGATACAAAATTTTTTTCAATAGGAAATTTATTTTCCTTTCAATTATAAGGAGCAAATCTTGTTATAGGAACTAGGCCATAATTTCTTGACTTCTTACTGCATGGCTTGTAGATGACTTCTAACCGGAGGAGAGGAAACAGACAGATACTCCACTATCAATAAACTATAAAGCAATGTTGGATAAAAGAAGCAAAAGACACAAAAAGTAGTTGGTGTAGGTGATTTTCTTTTTGACTTGTGCTTGATGACAAACTCCATTCCAATCTCAATGCAATGCACCTTAACCATTCAATGCTTTTCTTTAAAGAAGATGACACTAGTCATTTGTTGAGAGGTGGAACAAAATCTCCCATTAAAAACAATGCCTCAAAAAAAAATCTAGAAGTATGGTTTGCACCCTCCCTATCCTCCAACCTTATTGTCCAAAAAAAAAAAAAAAAAAAAAATTGCGAATCTAATAGGATAATACACAAAAGATTTTTCACATTGATTTATTTGGCCTTGGCTTAATACAGCAGTGTCAAATTCGTTTCATATGCTGTTTTGTATCACATCGCCTGGCCAGCAACCAAACCAGAAAATACAAATTACTACTACTTTCACAACACAACCAAGACGAATCGTCTTTATTTTGGATTCTCACTAACTATTAATACGCCAAGATCCCATATCCTGTTTGGAGAGGAGCTTGAAAATCATGTGGGATTTCAACAAGCAGCAGCAGCATTCCTCCATCTCTGAGTATCAAGCAGAATTTCACTTGATTTTTGTCTCATCACTGCTTCCAGTAGACCGTATCTTGATTAGCTTCTCTTTGGCTCGGAAGAGGACGGCATGAAATTCATCAAAATAAGGTTGAGTTGCATTTCTTGTATCGTCAATCCACTTCCCAATCTTTTTATATGGGTCTAATATTTGTTTGCGAACCTTCTCATCTAAGACCTAAAATTCAACCATAGTCTTGAAATGAGGATAATTCCTTTGTCATATATACTCAAAAGATAAAATGCAGGTAGGATCTCTGCACTCAAGAGAAATAGGTTCATAAACAAATAAACGAGATGCAGAAGACATCTATCTTCACCTCAAGTTGCATAATTTCACAGACTAAAATCAGGTCTGCTATGGATGGTTGAGATCTTCCCAGCAGAAAGTGTCCATCACCCTTGAGCCAGAAGGATTCGACCATTGGAAGAGAAGCTAGGAGGACTTTTCTAGCTTCAGCTGCTGCTTCTAAATTCGGAGGCAGGCCAGCGAGTAAAGGTCCAACGGTACTGTTGAAGACTAATCCAGCTGTAAACATAAGCATTGTTCAGAGTACCATCCTATAAATACAGATATGATAATCTCAACAAATTTAACTTGTCATCAGGGATTATTCAAAGATGGCTTCTTCCTGTTTCTTCACTTTTTGTCATTTGTGTGGTCTGATGGACATATTTGTTAAGGGACGAATGCAATTAATTTCTTGTATCAATGTCAAATTTTGTCAAAAATTCCCTCCCAGTAAATAAAAGCAAAGGAAAGATACATACTTGTACCATGTCGCAGATTGGAATGATGCCAATCTAAAACTGAGTCGATCTGTGCTCTTTCGAACAGGTCTGCAGGATACCTTGAAGTATGAAAAATGTAAGGGAAAAGACTTATCAATATCAATTATCAAATACTACTCCACATATTGCTTGGAAATTACTACCAGATGAAGCCTCAGAATGGACCTGGGATGGAAAAATGCAGTTCAACTATCATCTAGTACAGGACAGACTCACCAATGATCAGCAACTCCAGGGAAAGCACAAGCCAGAAATCGCAGAATTGCATGACTGCAGTGGACACCAAATGTGTTAACACCATACCATGCATGAAAAGCTGGTTTAGAAATCACCTAGCTAATATGAGGACGAGAAAAGGAAATTTAAGGATAGATTTAGTTCATCCTCAGTGAAATATGATAAAAAAACAGAAAGAGCATCCCTATACAGGATCATCACTCAAAGAAACAAAAGGAAAGATTTTTGCCCCTTCAAAATATGGAGGTTTTCGTTTTAAATACTTTCTGAAAAATAAAGATCTGCACTTTTGGATTAGCAACAGAATTCAAGTTGCACTACTTTGTCGATGTCAGTATAAACTTTCCCTCCTCGAAGCAAATAATATGACATCGAAAAACACAACAAATAAAGCATTTCATCTGATTTCTTCTGCCTTTCTGTGAGCAAAGACATAAAAGTGATCCAACTTCACACCCTTGTAGTACCTTTCAAAGAGCTTAAATTCTCCATCCACTTCTATTGCTGGCACTAGCTGCATAGGATTGATTTCTGAGGCACAATCAGAGAGGTGTTTATATCTCAAGAGAAACCTTTTTCATTACTATCAAGTTCAAAACAAAAGTCGCGACTCACTCTGATATTCAGGAGATAAGTTTTCGCGTTTGCAAAAATCAATCGTGACTTCCTCGAACTCTATCCCGTTTAACCTTTCCACAAACAATTCCAAGTACCCAAAAAATTAGAAATGAAAAGCCAATGATTAGACATCAAGAAATAAGACTACAATTATCATGAATTGTTACTTGCAGAAGATGAGAATTGCACGACATGGCTGAGACAGACGATCTACAAATAGTTTCAGCTTCATATCTCTTTGGTCAGTGGCAACGTAGCCTTTGAAGCGTGCCAGTGCTTTACGTATAAATAGGCACTAGTGCTAGGACAGTAGCACCATTCTGGCATTATCTTTCGGGTCAAACATATGCACCGGTTAAGTCAATGAAGAATCAATGATTGAGGTCCCAAGCGGTGGAAATTATCGAGTAATCGAGGTGGCACGCTATGATTCTTACTGTATATGAGAGAAAAAAAAAAAAAAGGAGAACTCCTTTTCAGTTTTCCCCTCAATCTCTGGGGCCTGCCCATCCCGCACCAATGCTGCTTCTATTCTTTTTTCTAGCAACATTTATTTCCTCAAAATTTCCAAAGGCAGATAACTATGCCCCGAGCCCGGGGATTAAATTTAATGTCACAATTCATATTTTATTTCCACCACAAATTTATATTGAAATAATAAAATTATCCCTCCTTATTAGTCCAAACATTGCATTTGGATTTGACTTTTTGTGCACATATGATTGTAGGACCAAAAAATGGGTTGCAGCATTATCATCACCATTATGTTGTATTGTCAAATTGGATGTTATTGCCTTCTTTTGTATGTTTTGTAGGGAATGACAGTCTTTTGACAAATATTAATCATACTTCACATTTTATGACGACACTCCCACTATTATCTTTATTATATAATTTTTATTTACTAAACTACATAATAAAAAAAAGATAGTGAGAAGACCAATATGAAAAAAATGAAATGCTATTAACATTTTCCCAATCTTTATTATCAAAGGTAAATCGATGAAAACTTTGGAACCTTTTTTTATTTTTTATATTTTTGCATTGCATGTAGTTGACTCCTCACTCCCCAACCCCTAATCCCCCGTTTTCAGTACAGCATTGGAAAAGAGACAAATGGAGCAAATTTGAACAAATTAGACGGACATGAAACAGCGTTGGAAAAGTATGGCTGGAGCTTATTGTACCAGATATTTCTCACATTCTTTTACTTGAAATTAGCTGCAACAGTAACAATCTCTCTTCTAACATGCATATTCCCACTACATACTCGGTTTCCAGTTTTTTTTACACTACAAACATAAACTGCCCTTATTGCCAAACTGCCTTATTTCTTACACCAACATCTGAGATCATGATTGGAAAAGATTCTGGAAATTCTATAGGGCTTCAACACATAGCAGCAATCCCACATATTTTGAATCCTAAGCAGCTTGTCAGCCAGTTTTTGTCTCACCACTGCCCGCACCAGCCCGCGCCTTCTTTATCATCTCTTTCATCTGGAAGAAGGCAACATGAATTTCATCAAAATGAGGTTGTATTGCCTTCTTTGTATCTTCAACCCATTTCCGAACTTTCGCATATGGGTCCAATATCCGTTTCTGAAGCTTCTCATCCACAAGCTACATTCAAAACCAAGCTGAAATGAGAGTTTGTCACAATAAAGCGGTTCATACAAGATTTCTTCTCGTAGTCAAGGTAAATATAAGAAACGAGAGAAGGCGTAAAAGGGCCCTTGCCTTCAAGTTTAACCGCCAGAAAAGTGAAAAAGTAGGAAACCAAGATCAGAAACAAGAAAACTCTATCAAGACGGTTGTTCCAGTTTAGCCATGGCTCTTCATGCATTGACAATAAGCCACCTCAATCAACATGACTCATCTCGACAAACAAAAGGTGCGAACCAGAATCATGGCCATAGATTGGGTAATCACTTTATTCTAGAAGTCGACAAGGACTCAAAATTTTCTATTAAAATGTGCATCCCAGCAAGTGATACTACTATCCTAGGAGAAACCTAGCTAAAGACGAGCAGAAACAACATGATGACTATTTCACTTGGGCATTCAGAGGTACAGCTTTTTTAATATCTAAATCACTTGTCACAAGGTTGATATAGAAACTATCAAAATGTTTGCAAAGAAATACAACTAACAAGAGGAAAGACACCTTCTTTTTTTACCTCAAGTTGCATAATTTCACAGACCAAACTCAGGTCTGCTATGGAAGGTTCAGAATTTCCCAGCAGAAATGGTCCATCACCCTTGAGCCAAAAGGATTCAATCTTTGCTAAAGAAGCTGACAGGAGCTTTTCAGCTTCTGCTGCTGCTTGAGGATCCAAAGGCCGGCCAAATAAAGGTGCAAGCGTAGTATTGAGGACTACCCCAACTGTCAAGATAAGCATACTTCAGAATGTGGTATAACATTAACAGGTAAACAGTGCTGATCATGAAGACGGAAAATAAAAATGAGACTGCTCTATATGTAACTGGGTCATTTTTAGACAAAAATCCAGTTATTCAAAAAGATTAATTTTTCCTTCTGCAGTTCTTCAATAAGGGATGGGCGGCCAACAAACATTTACTGCTCCAATTGCCAAATTTTGGGAACAGGCCAGCTTACTCAGACTAAGATTTCTACTATATCCAGTAACTCTACCATGATTCTTAGACTTCTTCACATGCTGCACTTGGGTTTCGATAATAAGTTCAAAGTATTTGCTTGTTTTGACATTTTTGCCCAATTGGTCATGGACGTTTAAGTGTTAAGTGACCCTCATATATACTCATCTTTTTGCAGTCTGTTAAGTGACTCTAGCAAGGAGACGAGAACAATGTACCACGCATTCATCTCATGTCTTTTTGTTCAAAAAATGAGAGGTAGATGTCAAAACCCAGAATTCCCACAAGGAAAATTGAGCTCATTCAAAACCATCCCAGATCTTTCTTATATTATTATCAAGATTCACCCTACAATTCCCTGTTTAATTTTTTTTGTAATTTGGTGACAAATAGCTTTCCAATAACACCAGACCACAGATAGAACAAGAATAGTTATAATATAGTGCTTCAAAACCAAAGATTAGCACCTGAACCCCGTCGTATAGTGGAGTGATGCCAATCTAAAGCTGAGTCAATCTGTGCTCTTTTGAACACGTCTGCAGGATACCTTGGAACATGAATGTTCAGAGTAATAAGAACTGTGAAATCAATAATTAGAGCACATTCCAGCATAAGCTAGTGGAAAGGCTGAATGTAGAACTAGGATTAGGACAGCCAGTTTGTATGGAATATCCGTGTATTCTAGAAGCATGCCCACTTATATAAATACATGAAAACCTTGACTTCCGATTTTGTACCCTTTCCCATTGTCCATAATTAGGGCATCAAGAAAGATTAGAACGGATATCCAAAGAAAATAACAGATGTGAAAGCATATGTAGGATCTATAACTGGCCAAAAAATAGAGGCACTTGTAACGGTGCTTGCTTTTGGGTGTCCATTAGCATATTGAAATAAAATTCAGGGGACGACTGAATTCATATTTGTCTTAGAAACTAGCATGCGTTTATTTAATGTGAAACACCTTCTAAACTAGCAAGTACAATGATGAGACTTACCAATGTTCTGCAATTCCAGGAAAAGCAGTTGCCAGAAATCGAAGAATAGCATGACTGCAGAGGACATTAGATTTGTGAATTCCATTAATATTGCGCACAGAAAGTCAAGGGATCAGTTAGCTAACACGGGTAGGAGAAAATGAGATCAAATAAATGGAGACTAGGAAAAAAATCCAGAAAAAACCAGAGCAGCCGCTTGTGGTTCATTATTTTCCCTTCATTTCTTTTCATTTTTCCTTTCTTTCAGGGAAGACGAAGGCAGGCCATCAGTACCAGAAATGGAAATGGAACTAAGTCTCAACTTATTAGTATATTACTACAAATCAATGTCAGTAAGACAGAAAAGAACCTAAATTGACATCATTGGATCGGTCTCAATCAACATAATTTCATCCTATATCAACTATAACAATAACTATAATTTCATCCTATATCAACTATAACAATTTG